CAATAGACAAGACGTATGCAGAGGATGCTCAGTTTGTGCTACTATGTTCCTTTTCTTTGGTTAGATCGTATGTTCAGCTGGCTTTCACTTTAGATTTGAGTTTGCTCTGAGATGGAGAGCATGGGCATGATGATTATTCCCCATTCTTTTTCGTTTGTTTCTACTGTCCTACCCACCAGTAGTTAAGCCAAGCAGATGAGTCAAATTGCAACTTTCGATCCTGTGTTGTTTAGCGTCATTGATTAGAGAGAACATAAGACAGTGATAGGGTTTCTATTCATGCAAAGGATATCAATCAATCATTCCAATGCTTAATAATCTGAAGAAAGATAACGGATAGATAGAAGAAAGGGAAGGGAAGAAAAGGATTCATGTGTGTCGTTACCAGGGAGGCGAGGAGGAAGAGCGAGAGATAGAACAGCATCTTCGATGCAGTATCGAACGAGCCGGATATGGAACTCCAAGCCAAGCTGGCCGTGCTAGACGCGGCGATGAATAGGAAGAAGACCGGGCGGAGCATCGCCGGCAGGCTGTTGCTCCCTTCAAACCTCTGGTACAGCGTTACGAATAGCACGAGGTAGTGCGCTATCCCGACCGCGAACATGCACGTCGCCACCTCCTCCCGGCCCATCTTCGCGGCCGCCCTCGCCCCGACCAGGTTTGCGATCACCGTCATCTGGCTCGTGGGGTTGGCCACCGCCGAGAGGAACCGCTTCCCTTTGGTGAACCACTGGCCGTATATCTTGAGGTCCAGAACCACAATGGGCACCGAGAACACCCACCAAAGCGCGTCGTAGGCCGCGCTGCTGCCGGGTCGGAGGAAGAAAGCGGACTGCAGGAGGAGCAGCCACGAGATCCAAGGCGCGAAGAGGTAGTTCACGCCCACGTGGTGCAAGAACTCGGCCTGCACGTGCCGGAACTTGAAGAGGCAGCGGCAGGCGTAGAGGGCGCAGAGCAGGACGAGCGAGGCGAGCGCTACGGACCAGAGGAGGACGAAGGCGGCGGAGGGGAGCATCCTGACGACGTGCCGAAGCGCACGGGCGTCGGTGCCCGGCTCGCTCAGGGTCTTCCACAGCAGAGCCTGGCCGCACAGCGACAGGCTAATGCGGAAGTACCCGGCATGGATTCCAGTGAGAATCGACACCTTGGGAGGAAGGCTACAGGCATCTAGATCGACATCTCCGCTAGGACTAGCGGAGATGACAGGAATGGAGATGGAGAGCTGTTGCTCCTTGTCCTCCATCGAAAGCTACCGACAGATAGAAGCTCGTCTCCTACTTCATACCATGTGGGAGGAAGGAGGAGGCGGTGGATGGCTATTTATGGACGCTGGAAAGCTCGATGGAATCTCCCATGTGATCTATAGTGACCGGTTGAATTCGGGGTTAGATTCCGTTACCCTGCACTGCTCCATTCTTTGAACTGAACGAAGAAAGCATGTCGAGTTCATACGTTCACCAAATATCCATGTGGTCAGCGCCAAGCTAAAGACCGACGGGAAGACGACCATTTACGTAACCAAGTGTTGCACGTTGGAGACTGTTGCTGTGTATAATAAGAACGCCACTGAATTAACGCATTTATTATGATTCGAAATATGTGATATAATGTTCTGTGGATCGATATAATAATTATTTTGTAAGGAATATTTTTGTTGATTAATCATGCAATTTAGAATGCTTGTATGGAATTGGATGGGACAAAGGAGGACTGATCCACGTTTGTTCTGCCATTGTATCTGCATGGATCTATATGTGTTGTGCAAGCTGTTAAGGTTTCCGTGGAATCAAAACAAGCATTCTAAATTCATGTGAGAATTAAATTATCAGTTGGGTCTATTTGATGACGCAACTGAGACTTTTGTCATGGCAAAATAGATCAAAAAAACACAGTTGAATTCACCATTTGTTTGGCACATGAGCTTTCATAAAAGAAAATTATATTTAGCTTGCATCATGACACTGACATGACACCCCAAGAACTCTAAACCACAAGGTAGAAATATAAATCATGTTGTATGACAATTCAACAATACATGCTTAAAGAATGATGGAATTGTAAACAGAAGATGGATCATTTGGTGTGTATAGTGCAATGGATTTTCCCATCACACAACTCATAAAGTAGAAGAAGGTGTCAACTAGTCTTGGTTCTTGGTCTTAGACTGAACATGAGTTTGATCTCAAAGGTCTGAATAAATATAGTCAAGAGTATATTTTTTTTGTGAACCGTCGGAGAATTGAAGTTGACTCTTTTCTGTTTTCCAAAAATGTAATGTTCACAAAAATCCAATGGCCCAATACTCTGTCCGCAAAGTAGATCCCTTTTGCTCAATATGTTCAAACCTTTTTCGCTCATATGACCCAAACGCATATGTCATAATTTGGTGATGTCAGAATCAGACAATGATGATGACGAGACTGCAACCGAGCCTGTGACAGTAGTTCCCTGCAAAATATATAAGCTACCAGACCTACAAGCTTTCATAACAATAAGGGCACTTCTAAAAACTTTCATAACTCCACCTTCAGTTGTGTATTTACACCCAAGGGCCTCTAGGGTGCCTAAAGAGATGAGATTCTTTTTTAAATCAGGAACATGTCTAACATTAGTGAGTGTCCTCATAATACCATCATGTATTTTAATTCGGATTGTTCCTCTACCAACAACATCACATGCTGCATTATTGCCCATGAAAACAATTTCACCGTTACAAGATTCATATGTGAAAAACAAATCTCTATTTGGACACATGTGATAAGAACAACCAGAATCTAAAATCCATTCATTTTTAGACCTCGTCCTGTCATCAATAGCAGAGAAAATATTTCCAATATTCTCATCAGTTGCTACACTAACTTCAGCAGATTCAATAGTTTTCTCAACAAATTTTTCCTTTTGCTTTAATTTATTTTTCAATTTAAAGCAATCAGCCTTAATGTGCCCCATTTTATGACAATATCTGCATTCCAAATTTCTATGTCTGGATTTAGATCTAGATTTAGATCTACTACTGTCAAATTCTCTTTTATCTATTCTCCACCTAACAACCAAACCTTCAGCCTGATTCTCTCTACTTTTCCCAATGATATATCTGTCTATCTGCTCCTTAGATTTTAGTGCAGATTTAATTTCTTGATACGAAATTATTATTTTTTCATAAATCATAGTATCACGAAAATGCTTAAAAGATTGGGGAAGAGAACACAAAAGTAACAGGGTCTTATCCTCGTGATCAATTTTTGCATCTATATTCTCCAAATCCATAACCAAGGAATCAAACTTATCAAGATGTGAAAGTATAGATGTACCTTCAATCATCCGAAGCATATACAAACTCTGCTTTATGTAGAGATGATTCTCTACTGTTCTCTTCATATACAATACTTTAAGCTTGTCCCACATGCTCTTAGCCGTAGTCTCCGTAGCTACCTCCCGTAAAACCTCGTCAGAGAGATTTAGAATAATGCTAGATCGGGCCTTCTTATCCATACCCGCAAGATCTTCCTTTGATGTACCATCTGGAATGTTCTCAACTCCCTGTAGTGCCAAATCAACTCCGTCTTGAATCAGAATGACCTCCATCTTGAGTTGCCACATGCCGAAGTTGATATTTCTGTCGAATTTATCGACAACAATCTTTGTTATTGTCATCGTTACCAAAAAATCCTAGAACCAGGTTCTGATATCAGTTTGTTAGAGCTAGCCTCAGGAAATTTACCAAATGATAATTTTGGCAACCCAACAAAGACAATGAAACGGAAAAATAAAAGAAGCGACAAGAACAATTGACTTTGACCTACATCCACGGACGAAAGAGGAGCAAATCACTACTATGAAAGAGACTATTACAAATGCCTTAGGAAGATGTTCCTAGGCCATAAAACACCCAAAAATACTAAACAAGAAAAACCCAAACTATAAGCCCAAACTATTTAACTTGGTGTGGACTTAAACCCAAAATAAACACTTAGGTTTTTCTTGTGGTGTATCTGACTTTAAAGCTCATACTCTTATTTATAGTTCCAATACGAGACAACAAGTTTGATTTTCCTGACGTGGGACTATGGGACTTACCAAACTAACATATATCATAAGGTTCTGAGCTCGAATTTTACGTTCGTCATTTATTCTTTGTAAAAAAAAAAAAACTCATAAAGTAGATGAGATCTTTACATTTTCTTTTTATAGGATTTCGACTAATGATAATTATTTAAGCACTATGACCCTTGTGTTTCATGCATTCTTCGAGGAGTCTTCTGGCACATCTTTAAGAAAAATAGGACATTCTATTTAGCAAACTAAATCACCCATGAAAATTTTTGCATATGATGGTTCTCTATGATCAGGTTTGTGAGAAACTACATCATCTTTGAAAATTTAAGAAAATGATCCAATAATATCGAAGTCTAGTATCAAGTGAGAGAAAATTTGAATTGATTTATAAAAACTAGATGGATTTGCTATAACTAAGTTTGGATTAGGCATTTTAGGTGAGTAATATAGGCTCAACAAAATGGTCCAATATTACTCAATGTATTGCTAGAAAGGCACAACTTATGGCAAAATATTCTCCTATGTTGATCATATAGAGTGCATTCCAATCAATTCTTTCCAAAGAGTTTCCCTCTTAAGACTTAATTCAGGAAGTAGAATCACAGAGATATCATGTCATAAGAATTCCAGTAGCAGATTGGTATCTCAACGAAGTAAATATGAATGGTAGGAAAATGTGCAAGTTGTGGTGGTAAGGCATCATTCAAGACAGATGAGGCACCACCACCACCCTGAGTCCTGCCTCCACACTGGACTGCACTTGTCTCTATTCTCTGGCAAGTGTGGATGGAAGAAAACAAAGAGGTGGGCAATAAGAACCATGTGTGGTGTGTCTCAAACAGTCAATTGAACCATGTTTTGTTGGCACTGAGATATAGTACATGTTTTTGAAGCTGGCATGTTTGTTCATATGTGCAATGTTGTTGCCTCATCTTGCCCTCCTGTTTGTTCTCTCTCCTTTGTCTGCAACTCAAAAAGATATCTCTTGTTATCTCTTCCAACTTATCCACTGGTGTCATCAGGGAGGAGCAGAGAGTGACCAGTGGGTGAATGGCATTGGCTGTTCTTCCACTTGCAGAGAGGGATGGCAACATAATGGGTAGGATGCAACCATGCAGAAGAGGTTTGGTGTTGGCTTCACACGCAAAAAGGCCATTGATGTCTCCTTCATCCAAAATGAGTTGCATACAGACATCCAAATTGTAAGTGATAACATGGGACTATCTAAATCTCCTGCAAAATGCCAAGTTAATCTTGTGTTTGATGTATACTTGGCCCCAAAACTTCTTTTTCGGGAGTGACAAAGTTTCTCAAAATAAATCCACAAGCATGCAAGTTTTGATCTTACATGAAGGAGAAAAGATAATGACCACTATCACTGATTTGCTTGTCAAGATCTCACAAGAACCAACAATCAGTACTAGTTTAATCTAACTACTAAAACTATAATACTGCAACCAGTCTTGATGAGTCCTGTTAATCTTTGTCGAGGAACTAAAGCATCCATCTGATTCTGCATCTCAAAATTGCAAGATATTAGACCATGAGTGGTAAAAACAAGACCTACCATACAGAAAAGCAAAAGGGAAAAAATGGGATCAAGCTGCAAAACAGAGCAAGCATTATCTCTAAACAAGAGATCTTTAAGGGCTTGAACACTTAATTGTTATATTGACAAAGAATAATAAGATTCTTACTAAAATCAAATGGCACACACACACACACACACACACACACTAAATGTGATAGAA